TATTAACTATTAACAATATTGCATTAAATTTACTGTTGGTATACAATAAAGACTAAACAATCAAAAACTAACATTTCTAGTATTCAAGTAAAATAATTTATTTAACTTTTGGTAACTTAAAAGAATCGAAGCATTGAAAAACAAATTTAATACAGTAGTAATTTTAAATTGCTATTAAAATACACGAATGTATACAATATATTTTACAGATAAGTTATTTATTTTTATAATCACTAAAACAGTAAAATAAACAATGAAAATATCACTTACTTTTACATTATATAAAAATTATTCGATGTCACATTATCCAAATAAAACGAAATAGTATAATGCAAATCTATTAAATTTTTAATGAGCTCCTCAAATTTTAAATATGTTTAACTTTTGTTAAGAATATAATTTAGCTATGTAAACTTGTCACTCAGAGATTTTCATTCGTGTCAGGGCCCCTACACATTATATTATATTCAAACTTTGGAATTCAAATTGGTTAAAACATTTCCAGTTCCCAAGAATGGAAACTTTAATGTATATTTATGTGTTCTGTCATACATGCATAATGAATATTTTGTTAAACATTATAATATGTGTGGAAATTGTAAAACTGTACAGTTTTCTACTTGATACTCGTACTATACCTGGGTACCTGTTATACATTATATCAACTAAGAACAACTTTAAAATAAGTGTTAGAAGTAAACTATATAGATGATTTATTTAAGAATCTCAATATTATTAACATTTGACTGAATAAAATATTAATTTACTCCTTTATCCAACATAAAAGTGTTATGGTTTAAAATTGAGTTCGTTATCACTGAATTATAATAATTATTTACTTTGGATGTAGAAGCGGGCAGGGCTGGTACTTTCCCAGTGGGCCAGTGCTCAAAAATAATTTGTTATTATATGTTTATAATAAAATCGGTATAAATATAAATCACATCGCGTAAGTGTGAAAAATTGCTTACAATAGGTGTTTAAGATTTCAGATTTCGGTTCGGCTGATCGTCCATCCCCCGCAGCATCAATGCATCATAAAAAATTATTATTTATAACTAGGGTGTGGATTAAAACACAAATTGCATTTTCTCCTCAATTTTCTAAAACATGGATTTAAAAGAAAAAAAATTGTTTCATACATCATTAGATTGAAAAAAAAAATTTTATTTGGTCATTTCATTTAACTTTTTTGATTTTTAGAACATTTTTTTAGCGTGTTTTTTAGGACATTTTTATGGTTTGAATGTTTGAAGTCATTTTTTTGGTTACAAATACAATTTTATAAAAATTCAATATAATTTTTTTACCAATATTTTATTTTTATTACATATATGTTCGCTCTTATGATCTATATGACTTCTGTTACACAAAATAACATTAGTTAATAACTGTCAAAGATTTTTATTTGAAAATAGCATCTGATTGTCTAGTGCTATAATGAAACAAAATACAATGAATACACCTACCTACCTGAATTTTATTTTATATTCATTTAAATTTCTCTTTTAATTTACCTGGCCATTTTATTATGCTTTGTATAATATATCCAACTGCATCTAACGTTTATTTTACGGATCGATTATTATACCCACGTCTGGCCAGCAAGTATTTAGTATATACTTAATATTACCTAATAGATTGTACACAATAAAAAATATTATATTAATATTCTGTACCCAATAATAAAATATGTATGGGGTGATAGGATAACTATAATAAGTATAGTTTCGTGCGTTCAATGAACGTTTTATTAATTCATAAAAGTAAATATTTTACTTGTTTTTTTATTTTATTGTTATGTGTATTATTTGGGGATTTTGTAATATTTACTTCGCTATTACCTACCTAGTTGTTTAAAATAAAAACTAAAAGAAAGGGTGGTACCGAGAAAATCAGAGAGAGAAAAAGGAAATTCTTAGAAAAATCAAGTTAGAGCAGTTTAAATATCGACCTATGTTTTTCATAATTTGTGACTCACTGACTCAGTCATAGAGAAATAGAAATTAAGTAACACATTATTGAATCTAAAGCGATTTTCAGAGAATATTGGAGATGGGTAGAGGATGCAACCTTCATTTATCAAAACGTTGGTAGGTAGGTACCCATATTTAAGTTTTTACATTTTGTGAACATGAAATGGAAGGAGACAGTCATAATGTAGATTTTCTGGGCCGAATTATAGTTGCCCCAGTCCGTCCCTGGTCATATGTACAATGAGTTAGGTACTATATGAGTCAACATAATATTATATATTGTGTACTCACATATTAAAGTGTATAGTTTTTAAATGCTTCTGCGTCTTTGATGCAGCAAAATATTTTATATTACCAAAACTGTTCACAAATCAACACTACCTATCTGTTAATTGTGTACATCAGTTAATTAAATTTGCTTTTGTACTACACGTTATTTACCATAGACACTTTTATGAGTTTTTACTGTGTGTTGCGCTTTGATAGCGAATGTAATCCAATCTACATTTTAGCATACATACAAGAAAGTACTCTAGATATCATACAACTAAATTTGATTATCAAGTGATTTCCAAGTGTTCTTGTATGTAAAACTTTATAAATTTATCATTCACAGTGACATATTATGACTAATAAACTTAGTACAGGGTTCGTTTTTTGTACTTATTTTAAACTGTATACAGTTAATACTCTTATCGCTATATTCAGTGCTTGAATCACTCAACAGTAAGTGACTTCACATAACATTAAATACAGTTATGCATGAAAATCAGGTCAATATAAAAAAATCTATTCGAAAACGAATAATTAAGGTAAATGGTATTAAAATATCCGGCATCATCTGAAATGATTATTGGGAGAAAAAAAAGAGTTAAATCGCTGAGAGTTACCCAATAAATAGTATCCTACAAATTTTAATTAAATTTACCTGTACCTATACTAAAATATGATAAATTCTGAGAATTACTTTTGAATAATGTATGAGGGGTACTTCTATTGCATTAATATCACAGATTTATAGAAAAAAATATATGTTAAATTTTTTATTTTTACAATTATACCAATAATCACGAGGATAAATAATATTATGCGAATTCCAATTGCATACAACAATACATTTTCCTAAGTTACGTATAACTTAAATTGTCTGGTATATCCTGACGACATAGTTACCAATAATCTGAACTTTCATCTAACTAGGAAAACTCGACGATTATCGGATATTAAATATTTTAAAATAATATCAGTAACTGATGTAGGCATATCGAATAGGTGCCTATAACCCTACAAAAATATCATACTAAAATATCTCTGAATATCCATTGAGCTGTAATAGATAGATTACAACCGACAAATCGAAATCATCACCTACTTTCAATTGGAATAGAATTACATTTGCATCTATAGATTTTAGGGGCTACCATCCGGCCCGACTTGTACGGCCACAATGGCTGACCATCCACCACTTTCGCAATTGCAGAGTAATCTTGTGCACAATGCACTTAATAGCAAAACCATGTACACAAACTAGCACTGTTGTAGCGGCACCATCGGCTTCCGGTCTAGAACGGAACCGACGACGACGACAACGACCCACGACTGCGACTCAAATTATGACGTTCTTACTTCTGAGAAAACGTAACCAAGTATTTAATAATCACTACTCTATCAGTCCGTAATTTATTTACGTATTTATTATTGAAGTTATTAACTTCCCGTGATCTACGCAGAACATAATATTACTATACTTTAAAACACAAAGGTATATGTAGATAATTAATATACATTAACATAGATAATAAATTAATATTGAAAATAAAAAACTGTATACCTAATAAACCACAGTAGCAGTCATCCGAACTGTTAAGTACCTACATATTATTATAATTCATTATGTGTTATTTTATTATTACGATTAAATATATATTATTATTATTATTTATTATAATTGCGACTTATGGCTGTTTATAGCACTGAATATTAATATAAATTCAATGAATTTCTTTGTCAACAAAACTATTCCCATGTAGAATTTAAACCGTTTAGACATAGATATATTGAAATGTATAATATTTATATGTTATAAACTTAAAACTATTGAAGTAATTTTCAAATGACAAACATTAAATATATTTTTATTCGTTTACTTGATGTGATTTATTAGGAATGCAATTCAATCCCGACTATTTGTATAAAGTGTTTAAGTTTTATTACTGTTTTAAAAAGGTTTATAGAGACGATAAAAATTGCATTTCCTTATTTGTGTTACCGATAAATTATACTTTATTTAAATTTATTTGGTATGATTTATTTTCTAATGCAATTTTAAATCGTACTTTTATTTTAATCTTATAAATATAATAAAATTATACTGCAATAATATGAACAATTTGTATCGATAAATCAATCCATGACCGTTTTATACAACTATAGCGTTGACATATTTAAAATAGCTGTTCTTAGATAAATCTATGAATGTAACTAAGACAAAAATCCGATCTTCAATATTATGCAAAGGATAATTAACAACATAATTTAAATAGTTATTTACTTCTTTATTCGTATTGAAAATATTGCTTAAGTATAATATGAATTTAATTGCCTCATTAAATTTTTAATATAAGCAATTCAATAGTTTGTATAATAAACCTACACTTATGTACCTATTAAAGTAACTATCAATGTATAAAACATAACTAAACTGGATGATCCATTTAAAGCAAGCCACATATTTTTTTATCGTCAGAACTTTTTTTTTTACTTTCTTTATTGACAACATGCATTTTTAATTCCTTAATCCAAATAGTTTTTTTCCGAAAATGTTAATAAGACTAAAAATTATGTGAAAATACTTTAATCCAAAGTACATTATTATAAGTTCGTGATTATTATATTATATTCATATACTTAGTGAAATTTACAAAAAAATCCTTAATCAAAATGTAAAAAAAAAGTTTTAAGTTTCTAATCAACTCGAAAATAATTAATTATATGGACTCAACTAGATACTCAAAATACACTTACCCTTTTGCATCTAAATAAGGCAATGATGGTGATAAGATTTCCAGGCACGCCAACCATCATATATATCACACAGCATATGCTTGCAAACGTTAATAGGGCAGGCGAATATCCTTGGAACAGTTCTGTTTCCAATTCATTTTGCCAGTCGTGGATGTTAGCAACTTCCGACACATTTTCCTGATGATAAACATCCAGCAAGCTACGGTTTTTGTCTGTTAGACCATTCTTTGTGTAAAACCAATGCATAGCCCAGTCTCTGATCATTGCGGGTTTAAATTGAAGTCATTAAGACATAACGTTTAGCAATCGATAAGGTTTCATGATAATAACTGTAAAAAAAACCACAAACGAAACGTTATGTGACGAAAAAATAATATAATAATAATAACAGTATAAGAAAATAATGAGAAAATTCGATAAAAACATTACAATGTCCAAATAAATTATTTTCAATCATAATTAATATGCATTTAAAATTTAAGTCTCAACAAAAGTTCAATTAATTAGGTTGGATTAGAATAATATAACAGAATAAAACATAGGACGAATAAGGAGTTCAGTACATATTTCTGGTGAATTTGGTTGTCATTTATAAATAATTTTGTAAATCCCAGTAAAAACTAATACTGATTTCCAATCAAGCTATATAATATAATACCTAGATACAAATGTTAAAACATTTTTAAGCACATAAACGCAACAACAGTTTTTCAACTCGGATATTTAAGAATGTTCTTACTTCAGCTTGAACTACTAAGAATTTTCAATTCCTAAAAACTTATATCCAAATTACAATCAATAAAGAGAAAGCTTATAAACCTTTCGAATAACTATTAGGTACTACATAAAAAGTGGTTTGAAAAATAAAAAAATTTCAAACACGTCATTAAACATTCAAAATAGTTAAACACTAAGCTATGAATCTAAAATATTTGGAAAAAAATATTAATCCAATGTAAGTTATAATATTTAATATGCTATGTGTTCATTAATGTTTAGTTAATATAGATATTTAGTATTTACTTCATACTTTTATACAACAAAAAATATATGCAACGCTTTCCAACAAATGTTTTTAATATTATGGACTTACACATTCAGAAAATGTTTATAAATAATAAACATACATATATAAGTGAAATAAATATGAAATAAAAATGTAAATTGAAAGTTTTTGGCGGGAACATGGTGTGAAAATGAGGTACCTACCTAAACGTGCACACAATTACTAGTGTATTTTAATTATGATTAAAATGTTCATCACTTCAGTACAAACAACTTTTTTTAATGATCAAATAAAGTGAGTATCATCAGGAAAGTACACACTACACATTATACAATAATATACATATAACATGCACTTTGTAATAATTATTAATTTAACCGTAATAATTCGTATCACCTGTATTTAGATAAATCTAATATTAATGGTAAATAACGCTATTCATAACTAATATATATAATATACAATATTATATATTGTCACGTATGTTATGATCAAACAAAGTTCATATAGTTTAAGCCAATAAAAATTCAGTGTAAACCATCTGCAAATTGATTTTTTTCACCATCATCAAATGTGTATCCTATTAACATTATAAATTAATTTTCATCACTATAACTCTGAATAATTTACATTTTACAATAGATGAACATATTATTATATATATTTTTTACAAAAGCAAACTACAATAGATTGACATCCAATATATAATATTGTACAGAATATTTTACGGTTACACAAAAAAATCTAACCCAATCAAAAACATAATTATAATATGAGGGAAATATAATCACACGCATTTAATATTAAAATATTTAGAACTAACTAAGACACAATACTAAATGACAATGATAAATTAGATGATAATATTATTATATCAGAAAAATAAAATATAGAATTCAGATAAAATTTTCTTAAAACAGTTTAAACTTGCGCACGTTGATTATCATGTTCGACAAACTATTGTGATGCCGATAACCGGTATTAAATAAAGTGCTACCAATGTACCATAATGATGGATGTGAATTTGTTTTGATAGCAAACTTCTTTTGTTCTTTAACTCTGCGTTTACTCAGTAATTTTTTTTTTTTTTAATAGATAGAAAATGTATGTTACATAGTAATATATTGATTGCAACATATTATATATTATATACCTGACGGTTTTTGGGATTTTTAAACAAATAATATGGGTTTAAGTTGAATATACTCTGTGTTTCAGAATAAAATACATCTATATATTATACATTGAGAACGAATAGATTTTCAAACTATAGTTAATTAATAATTACTATTATTACATACAAGTCTTGAATCATGAACCACAGAAAACTACCCTTGAAAACTTTTTTTCGACATAGAATTAGTTGTGTACCTAATTTAAGTGGGTTTTCGTATTATATACAAAAATAAAATGTATGTCAACTTCAAAAAGTCATATATGCATAACGCATATCATTATTTATGATTTTTTTGAAATTTTGAAATCGCTTTCGATAACGTAAACGATGGTTTTAAAAAAATTTTCACAACAGTATATCATTACTTATGTGATATTACTATATGCTTAATATATTACAATTGATTACAGTAAATTTAAAGAAATTTGTATAAAATATATTCTATAATTCCACTAATTATTTAGATCTGCTTGTGTTAACTGCGAATGGTTCAATGCACCAATCATCGTAATCCCCGTCGTAATCGGTAGGTAATATAATATAATATTTTATAATAATGAATGACGAATGTATACGTTTTTAAATAATTATGGAAATTGTTTAAATAGATACCGACTACTTAAAAATAAAGAAGAAAATGCTCGAGTGTATAATGGTACACTGTGGCATGGTTTTTATAGGCAAAGAATTGTGGTACATTATTATATTATTATTATTATTATTATTATTATTATTATTATATCTAAATTTATGTGCTGGTGGCATTTATTAAAAGGTTCTTAGTTATTTGTGCAACATTTACTAAAGAAAACCAATTTAATCGAATTTCACATACTTTCTTGTATAGGTACTCGAATCAATATAACTTAGTTTTTTTTAATATACACTTAATCAATTTAAATTTACATTAATATTTAAAAAAATATGTTTGATGTATTATACAGTGGATAAAATTAATTCAAAACAAAATGTATCATTTATTTTCTTGTTTTAACGAAAATAATTTAATTAGCTTACATTTATTAAGAATGGTCGTATATTATTATTAAATGTATAACCTTGTATTAAATTATTAAGTCTTCAAAACTCAAATTACGAATTATTCAAAATCAAAACAAGATTAACCAACAATATTTCAACTTTAAAATATTTAGCACACAATGGTCAACATTTGTTTAGAAACTTTGCTATTATACATGATTTAATCAGAACTTATCTGCATAAAAGTGTATGAAATAGTTTTAATTCATTGAAAGAAAATACAAATCAGTTTTATAAGAACCGTATAGATCGTTATTGCACCTTTCACAGTTCTAAATATTTTTTCAACATTTTCCAATAAAGCTACAAGAAAATTACAAAAATTACTTGTTTAAAGAACCATATGTGCCCAATTTTAGATACACATAGCGTCAGAGCCCAGAGGTGATATAATATGAAACTTTTAGAGCACGTCTTCTTCTATCCCAAATAGTGTATACAGATGTTTAATGTTTTATTATTATAAAAAACACAAATCATTGAAAAACTAAAACAATATTCCTCCCGTGCTCCTTGAAAAATATAAAATGTCTCCAATACAGTACATTGAAATATCCATAAAAAGAAAATGGCATACTCGTGTAGCATGTGATTTACCAATTTAATATATTAAGACGTGATCAACCAAAAAATTTCTATGTATGCAATTTATTATTAATTACTATTCAAATTTATTTTATAGTATAGTTGAGGTATAAAAATAAATCGAACACTCTGATAAAAATTCATTAAAAAATACTCTGTGTGGCCGTTAATCAGTATAACTAACTTAAACTTCAATTTCATAGGTTACATTATTATTGGTATTCACCATACACGTAAGATCATAAAATATTCTCATTCATAATATCCATATTAATCATATTGCATTGTTGCACTGTACAATTAAAATGTGTCTAGTGTCTTCAAACAAAAAACATGTGTCTTGCTCTAATCTAAAATTTGAGAAAAATGCCCCACATTGAACAAAAACTACAAAAATGACCTAAAAGATAAAAAAAATGACTTAAAAATGTTAAAAAATGACGTTAAAAACAAAAAAATGCATTTATGGCTGTAAATGCTTAAAAATGCAAAATAATGCAAAATAAAATTAAAATATTCTGCGTCAAGGGAGCATGAAACAAATTTTTAGATAGAATAGCATTGTATGAAATCAAAGGAAAAAATGAAATAGTCATCAACATCCTAACTCTAATCATAATCAATTACAGAATTATCGGCATTCGAAGTACATTTCGTACTTATTTAATAAAAAATAAGCTATTATAGGGTAGGTAATAAATAATATAAGAGCAAATCGACTATATTCGACTACATAAAAAGTATGTGATGTAACTCATTTCGAAATATTTATACAATTTTAAAGATCACGAGCTAAACTTAAAACTGAAAAATAGATCACCTGCTGCACTTACGACTTCAAAGGTAAATCATCTAAACAAATGTCATAATTAAAATACATTTTAATGCATTATGGTATAATTAAATCCTTTTATTGGAAAATATAATTCAGAATTCCACTAATACAGAAATACTTCCATAAAATCATGTACAATGACAAATAATTCAAAAAATATGTTAAGTTTACTCTCCTCTTATATACAATATAATAAAAAAATTAGTGTAATGATAAATCTATTGGTTTTATGAATAAAGTACGGAAAATTAAGAGTTTTGATTCAAATAAATACATTTTTTTTTCTTAATTTATAAAATGTGTTTATTTTTTTACTACTTTATGTTAGCATTTATATTTAAATGAATATTTCTTTTAACATTCTGTGATGATTTTATGATATTTAATGTTTAATTTTTATACGTTTAGTTAATAGTTTATAATTGTCAATTTTAAATTTTGAAATACTTCTGAGTATAAAATTTGATATAAATATAAACATAAGTAATATTTTACATAACAAAGAAATGGTTTTAAATAATTCAATATAGAACATTTCATTTCAATTTAATATTTTCGTTTTCCATAAATTTAAAATATAATATAGTTTTTGTACACATATGAAATTTAATATTACGAAATGAGATTTTATTTTAGTCAATTTTCGCAGAGATAGAACTAATATGAACAATTTAAAACCAAAGTAAAATAATACTCACATCTGCAAATTATACAATATCTGTTTATTATACGTCTCGTATGACATTACCACAATATTTTTACAACCTCGTATATATAATTTAAATAAAGTAGATATATTAAAATAAATAACCTTAGTTTATTTATGATTAGACATTGTAATATTACAATCGTTAAGATAACATTTTTAAAAACCTTTATAAAATACAGTTGCGCAATTTTGATAATTTAGTAAATATTTTAAATAGGAATTATAAACTATGACACAATTTATTTGTTGCCTAAATAATATTTAATTATACAATTTCGGTGTCCGTCATATTGTTTAAATATAAATGTTATAAAATAACGATAAATCATTCATTTTTTTTAAATTATAATACCCAAACTAATATTTCAGAAAATATATGATAGATACTTATTTACAAATAGAAATCAACATTGTTTCATAAATTAACTATAAATTCTTATAACATGCATAATGGAGCTATTGACTTACGTCTTGGGACTCATAAGAGGTATCTATTAAATTGTATTGCACTTATGAAAATTGTATTTTAGATTCAGTAAATTTTGATAGAATACAAAATAATGTATGACTTTTTATGAATAGTTTAATTATAATACTAAAATAATCATTATAATAATTTAATAGAAGAGTACCAAGGAAAAACATCGCGATTGATGTACGAGTTTTTAAGAAAGAGCCTCGGCGAATGACGTTTGAACCTCGACGGCTGCGGCGTGACTACCATGTGGTCGTAGGGATTGCTCGACGGTTTCTGTAACAGAGGGCAAAGACCCCCCTACCGGCAAATGTGGCGTTTGCGCACCCCAATAGCAGCCGAGCGCATACTATAAAGTGTTGGTGGAGTAAAAAGGATGTGAATGATCTGTTGAGAAAAATAAGAAAACGAAAAATTCAGATACGAGTGATTTATACCGATATCTTATTTATTACCTTTATGTATGAAATTATAAACAAAAGCATCCCTAACAATATCTTCATTTAATCAACGTTTAATAAATGCTAAGAATAATATCTACTTATTCGTATAAAACAATAATCTTAAGTTTAAACTTTAATTTCTTAATCGAGTTAAGTTATTAGCACATAACACTATAACAATGATAAATTGTTCCTCGACTATACATAACCAGCAATTGATAATAGTATGACTTTAGTGAGATTATTAAGCACAACTCTATTAAGACCAAGGACTTTTTTTAATAGAAGCAAACAATTTGATATATTATCATTTTATTTATAATTATTCCAAATATTTTAATTGAGTCAAAATATTAGATGAATCTTAAACGTTAATAGGTAGTAAGGCTTATTTTAGTGTAACAAGATTATTCTACTAATTTATTAATGTAATCTGCAGCTCACTATAATAAAGTACAAATTGATTCAAATCGACTTGTTTATCACAGTTTTAAAAATCTAAAATTATTTGATATTTATATTTAAAAAATATTCTTATCAATACCCTATAGTAAACATTATAAATTTAAAATAAATGTATGACAAAGTGGAGTAGGTATATGGTATCCCGAAACTAAAATATCAACATTCAACATACAAATTAGACACAGGAGACAGACTATACAATAAACCCGTAAATAGAATTAAATGTATAAGTATAGAATACTTAAATTGTTCAAAAAGCATCAATTGTAGGTTTATAAAATCAAAATCTCTTATTTTAATATTTACTGTTCCCTACCTATACATTATTAACCAACTCATAAGAACATAACAAGATTTAAATAACTTATTAGCTTATTAGTTAAATGTATCATTAAATTCGTCAAAAACAGAAATTCCAGAAACTTTGAACATTCTACTATTACTTAAATTATCATTTCCTAAATATACAATAAATTATTCATATATTTAAGAACATTTTAAGCTATTTATAGTCATTTTGAATTTTGAATTTTTTTATTAAGTTTTAAATAATATGTTGATATTTTTTTCAAAATAGCCTTAAAATGTATTCAACATTCCTCATACGTTGTTTTCCTATCAATTTTATTTTTTCAAAAATACATGTGCGCAACTTTTGTTTCCGGAAATTATAATTGTTGGTGTGGGAAAAATTGAACAAATGACTGATAAAAAAACCATCACGCTAGAGTTGAATTAGTGATATTTAACAATAACATTTTCAAAATTGTACACGACCCACTAAAAAGTTATGGGGAGACTGAAGGCCACTAACCTCATGTAGCTAAGTTACTTAGCTGAATTTTTCCACTAATTTCATGCACCTAAACATTGAAAATTGAAACGAAACATTTTGTTGTAATTCATAAGTATTAAATGTCGAAAGTTGAAACATTTAGCCGTTGGTTTATTTATTATTTTCTAAACGCAATACAATAATCGAAATATTTAAATCAATTAAACCTATTCAAGACGGTGCCCGCAGAGGGGTGCCGGGGGCTATAGCCGATAGCCCTATCACTATCTTATTTAATATTAATTGTTTTATCATTTGTAAAAAAAAAAATAGTATGAGCTATATTATCAGTCTTTTGACTTTGCCACTCGTGCCAGTCCCACCCTCCTCTAGCGTTTTATATTTCTGCGGGGGCCCGTGTATTCTTCCCACTAGTATACGGTATTAGTTTATAAGGTTAAAAACAATAAAATATGATTTAATCTTATGATAGTTTTGAGTATAATACAAGCAATTATAGTTTGAAAAAAATTGTTCAGCTTACTATATAATTTACTAATAGTCACTACCTAATATAAATAAATTATAACATATCATAATAAATAGAGGCTGACCACTCCTCCACAGAGAACAGTATTTTGAAAATTTATAGTTCAAATTTAACAAATTGACGAAACATAAAAATATTATTAAATAACATTAGTTTCAAACAATGTAAAACGATACCAAAGCACATATATTGAGTTATTGATTTTAAGACCTTCAAATATTAAATCTGGGGTTACATAAATAGTTAATGATGTCAAGGACAATGTTTATTATTGTTAAAAACCTCTTAATTTGTTTGTACTAAAAGTTTGAAGTTGTTAGGATTTTTAGCGGTCATTTCAAAATCAACTATCGAGCATAATATAGGTAAAGATGTAGAATTTACGTTAAAATTATAACATAAGGTTCTAATAAAAATGCAATTATAATAATACTTTTTGATACTTTATATATGTGTATACATCACCGTGATTATTCATAATAAAATATTCATAACAAATGTCGATTTTGGTGATATGTAATTATAGTATTTCAAGAATATTAATATTTTTCATTATTTGAAACATTTTAAAAACCATACTATGTGTTTTTTTAAAAAATTATTACCTAACCTATTTATAAATAAGAGGAAAATAGATAATTATATTTCAAGAATTCTTTGTGATTTGTACATTTCAAAATGTAATTTATAATTATTTGGGGAGATATATTTACGTAAATTATTGGAAATTACCATCACTTTAATGGGGACACCTTATGGAAACGTAAATGGCAAAATATTCGTACATCGTACGTCTGACAGACTGCAACCGACGAGCGACGTGCATCTCTCGGGCACTCATATAAATTATTATACTATTTCAAGAGAAACTTTGAACCCTCAAAACGTGCTGTACTGAAAATCGTGACGTCAATGTTATAATTTCCAATCACAGTAAATCTGTGTTATAACTTATAAGTTATAATATTTATAGGTACTATAGCCTACAAGTACACTATAGTTTAAAAATCTTACCATTTGGTAATTATTATTATTATGGTAGGTACTATTGTATTTATCATGTAGGTAATCGGGTTTTTCTTTACTCTCTAGTTGAGCACTTCAATTTTTTTTTAAGTAACAGTGATTAAAACAAATGTAATAAATTATAAACCCTTCGCGCTTCGTCATCACAAAGTCCGGAAACCATGTATGCTGTGGTGTAAGTTTGTAAATACAGCGTAATGCATTCAAAAAGATTAGTTTTACTATGAGTCTAGGAAGTATAAATAATATATTGTTCTCCAACACAAGCATCAGTTATAAATTAAAGGTGTACAAAAAATGTTAAATATAATTATATTAGATTTACAAAATTATAATTTTGAAATGTAATTATAGTTTAATAGTTATTTTGTGAAATACCTATGTAGGTCATTAATTAATTAATATAATATGTATAACATTATTATTATTATTTTCATACTGAACTTTCTGTTCTTACTATTCTTAAATAAATTCATCAATATATACTTAATAAACAAATTGCACTGTTCAACAAACCATTTAGTTAATCAGACATAGATGAATTATATAAGCTATAACAAAGTTTGTGTATGTGACATATCTGAGAAAATCGTCGACAGTGCGTAATTAATCGTATTAGGAGGTTCTGTGTAATTAACCTAGTCTCACCGCAGCTAAATAATTATGTTCTGGTTAAGTTTTGTTTTTGAAAATGATCAGCAGACATAAACACACTTATATAATAGTTAATGGTGAAAATAATTAGAATCACCTAGTCGAAAGCATGATATACTATTGACTTTGAACCAACAACTATAAATTTATACTTAGGAATAATATAGTAACTTTTTAATAACTACACTTATCATAAAATATGTATATAATATATAACTATTATAACTACCAATGTTTTATAATAATCAAATTACAGTAAAATTAGTTAAACTAACTACTTCACACAGAACAACTAAACTTTTAAAGTGCCGAAAATGATAAAAAAAAATATTAAGGTCCATATGTTATTTTTTTTTTTTATTAAAAAAAAAAAATAAAATTTACAATCTGTACATTAAGAAAAGTTACAATAAGCAAATAGGTGAACAGATAAGATATTTGACATGGTGACGGGGATAAGGGGCTATTCAGTGATAGGACCCTTTTAAATTTGTTTTTTACTATGTCTATTACTCTATTAATAATAGAAATGGCCAAACACGAATAAATAGATAAAATAGTATGCTTATTACTTACTAGTTACTTCATTGCGTTTTTATATTATTAAAATTAATGAAAAGTCACAATATTTAACCTATACAATATAATATAGTTGTAGCGTAACTGCACCGAACATGTAAACAATTTTAATAAACTACCGTTTCATTTTCAAGCAGTTAACTAAAATATGGAAAATAAGTGTTATTGTGGTCATAGAATGATTGATTTAAGTTGAGATATAGACATAGGAATTTCACCTTTGACTAACTCAAAGTACTATCTACATAATATTTATGATCATAAATATCAATAAACACAATAATTGAATCATTTGCTAATACAATTTTTATAAGTGACCAAAGAGGTAACCGCTGGTCTGTGCAGTTTGAGTCGAGTGTATCTCATCATTGAGTAGGTCACTAAAATGGGTGTGTAAAATTTGAATACAATGATAAATAATTACATGCGAAGAACGATTCTAATGTATATGACTATAAGTATATTTTATTTTATATATATTTATATTGTTATTAGAGTTATTTATTTAACTATTAGGTAGTAAAACGGTGAAAATAATAATTATTATTAGGCAATAACATACAATTAATTTAAATATTTTGATAATGTCATTGCATATGGTAAAATATAATAAAATTAACATAAAAAATTCAAATTTCCATGATTTTTTTCGAATTACAACAAAATAACTATTTATTTAAATATTTTAATTTCGTCAAAACTTCAAATGTCTATGAAAAATGTTGTGTCAATATAATTTTACGATTTTTGGTTTACGGTAAAAACTACTTATGAGTAACCTTATATTAAACTTCCAAGACTTAGCTATAAAAATTGAATATGTTATAATTAATTTAAATATTTGTTTGCAAATGTTCGGGATTTTGTCAACCTTTGAACTTCAAACGATTATAAAAAAAATCGTGTTTATGTATTTCAAATATTTTTAAATTGATAAAATAATTGCTTATGTTGTAGAATTTTGTATTTAATTTTAAAGCATAACATTTTTTAGGGAGACAAAAAATAAACGAAAACAATTAAAAATATCCAAAATCTATTGAGAATAAATACGCACTGTTTAATTGTTATTTTATACGTTTGAATATCCAATGTCGTAAAAATGTCAATCGCCCATAAAAAATGTTTGTGACTCTACACTGAATTTTTTTTTTATTTCCAGTAAATAAACCTATGAGGAATCTTGTATCAAATTTTTAAATTTCTTTGTTTGAGTTTAAAAAGCATCAACTAGATCTAATGTGTTACCGGAAACCACCCTTGAAGTTGAAGAACGAAGTATTTTTTTCTTCAATAAAACGTGTAGACAGACATTAAAGTAAAATAAAAAAAAATACTCATCATTGTAAAATCAATACATATTCATTGCTTTACTCAGAATCTAAAATCTAAAAGATTAAACATTTTATAGCCTCATAATATTTTGAAAATTACTCAATAATACCTACTCTGTTTGTTTATAAAATAAAAATAAATCTTATAAATACAATGCGTATTATAAATCATTATAGAACACAACAAACATTAATAAATCATAAAAAATTATAAACATAATTACTACTACTTCGATCAGAGTTAAACTATTAGTGTATCATAATATTGTATACGCAATCGGTGTTTGCAAATTATAAGGGAAAACAGATTTTAATAATTCCATTGGTTACTATGATGTGTAGATGTGTCCTGGATGTTGCTCAGGCATTTGATAAGGTCTGGCACGACGGACTACTATTTAAATTGAAAAAATTCATGCCAGCTCAATTATTCCTAGTCATCAAATCTTTTCTAGAAAATAGAAGTTTCACTGTTAGACGAGGAAACTCATTTTCGCCTCGATTCAACATCACTGCAGGAGTGCCCCAATGTAGCGATCTAGCGCCTGATCTTTATAATATTTACACTGCCGATATTCCACAAACTCCCAACACACTATTAGCCACCTTTGCTGACGACACAGCCCTATTGTCCACAAGCGATGATATTTCTATAGCGGCACACAATCTACAACATCATACTAGCCTAATTGAAACCTGGTGTAAAAACTGGTTGATTAAAATAAATGAAAGCAAGTCAACTCAAGTTACTTTTACCCTTCGCCATGGCAACTGTCCCTTAATTAAATTAAATAACGTTAATATTCCTGTCAGTAATGAAACCAAATATCTCGGCATAATACTTGACAAACGCCTAACTTGGGGCCCTCACCTAAAAAATAAAATAAAAATAGCGAATAGCAGACTCCACCTTTTTCGGCCTCTCCTAAAATCCAAACTAAAACTAAAACTTAAAATACTATTATACAAAACCGTTATCAGACCACTATGGTCTTATGGTATCCAAATTTGGGGACCAGCCAAACCTTCAAACATCCGCCCTATCCAGTCATTTCAAAATATAACCCTTCGAATCATCACTGGTGCCCCCTGGTATGTATCGAATGAAAATATTCATAACGACTTACAAATCGAAACAGTAAGTAAACTTTCAAAACGTCACTATAAATCCTTTCACATAAAACTGCCATCGAACATTAATCACCTAATTCAAAAAATGTCCTCAAATCTTATCCCTGATCAACCTCCACGTAGACTGAAAAGAAACTGGAATCGTGACCTACTACTCTGAAAAAAAAAGAAAAAAAAACAACAACAATAGCAACATCAACTATACAATTATCCTTGCTACACCTAGATATATAATATAATAAAACCTAAATATTTGTGTGAGGGGTATTACCAGTGGGTGACTTCCCCTATCATGTGAATCATGTTATGTCAATTTCTAATTGTTATCTCAATGACTTATTGTACAGACTATGTGTATAGATGGTCTTTTTCTTAATAAAAAAAAAAAAATGATGTGTAGTACAATATTAAATCGAATAATATTAACATATAGAGATTGTTTTTCTCCGATAGCCTCTTTTTGGGTACCGAAGAGATCCATTGGGTGGTTTAAAAACCCAATAGTTCATGGTTTATTTTTTAAATAAACACTATTATTGTGAATTATAATATATTATGTATCATACAAATTGTAGCCCGTTGACAACGTGTACTATGAATGGTAACAATGGTAGGGGAAATCCCTGCTGTATTTTACGTTGCATCAACTGTATAATAATGTTGGATCACCGCAGTTTATTGCCTATTAGACTTAACTGCGTAAGTGATAGCTTAGTTTTTGTTGTTTGAACATACGTAAAATTCAATGTTATGGTTCTGTAATGGATAAACCGTGTGAAAATAACAGTATTAGACTAAAGCCGGAACAAAACGACTATGAAAACCCCAAACTAAGGTTAGTGTAATAATTTTTGTTCAAAAACAATAAATTATTATTACATCTATCACATATAAATTATAAATGTTTAAGAAAAAAAATGTTTTATCTTTATTTTTATCGTACATATACCTTATACCAACGATCAGTAAATTTAATATTTACAATAATCATATTTTGCCCAGTTATTGTTTGTTATAAAAACAAATCAGCCACTCGGAAAGGTAACACTTTATAAATTGACTTCAGTTTAAATAGATTTTCAAATGATGAGTCCAATAATTTTGAAAAAATCCAGGAAGTAACTCTGCTATATAGTAGTTGTCGGGTGCACCTCGTCATTGAGTAGGTCACTTTGATAAATGTGTTAAATTTGAACTCAATGATAAATTATTGCATACGAACATTAGCGGAGACTACAGTCAGTCTAAACTTCTAAGAATATCTTATAAATATATTAATAATTATTAATATATTACTACAACATTTACAACTTGTAATATATTATGTATTACTACATAGCGGCTAGCTGTTATTAAAAAAAGTCAATACTGATGTACCGTAGAACGGTGTGAATGGATTCTTGGTATAAATAACTTAAGGTTAACCTAAACATTTGAAAATGTACCTATGAATTATATTTAATTAAAATAAAAAACGAAATTGTTTTTTTTTCATTATTTTAATTTTAAATATCGGCCCAATGTCGTCTAAAATTAACTTAAATATTTAAATGTCTATAAAAAAAATTAGTGGATTTGTATTTTTAAGATTTTAAGTTGTCTGTAAGATTAACTTATGAGGTACCTTGTATTAAATTGTTATACCTTAGTTGTTAAAATGGAACATTTTTTAAATTATGAACTACAAAATATTTCACAAGTTTTAGTGATTTTGATGAACTTCCATTAAATCCTGAACTTCTCACAAAAATTAAGAAAATTTAGGGTATTGCGCAACCGATGAGGAACCTTTTTTAAATGTTCATACTTTTTTACTAAAAACAATAATGTTATCATAAATAAATCAAATAAGACCCAAAAAAGTTTTAAAAATGTCAAAGGGACATGCACAAAAAGTTGCAAAATACTTTTTAACTTCAATCATTTGATCTACAATTTTTTAATTAAAACTGGTTTTGCTTTAAAATTCCAGTTTTCCCTAAAACCACCCCCAAGTTTGAAAATATAATAATTTTTACTGTTGGTTTACAATAAGATGATGATAGACACAATAACCGAAAAAATCATATATTGTAAAATCAATAACATTTGTGAGAACCTGCAATTAAGAATGTTTTTGTTTGAAGACACGCTTCGAACCTTGGATGATTTATTGATTTAAAAATTGAATATATATATCAAGGTACCTATAGTACCTATATTAATTTAATATATATTATTCATTTTAAAAATGAAATAATTAACTTTTAAAAAAATGTTATAAAAAAATGTCTATAAAACTGAGTAAATCAATACTCTATTTCTAACAACTGTAAATTGGTTATCTTTGGTTTTCTTGTAGAAGCCAATTAAAATACATTTGTGGAATTATTGCACCTTATACCGATGAACATTAATAATGAATTATTGACATTAAATGATTATCATTTATTATTATTATTATTATTTTTTGGTACCTACGTCGTTATACACGGTGGGCAAATACATACTAAAAACACAATACGAGTAGATTTTTATGAAATAAAATTCATCATACTATAATTAAATAACATTGTAACATATGTGTTTTGAAAACATAAGAGCGTATATTATTTTTTTTCATAATATTATATAATATTATCATTTTTAATTTTAATTTTAAAATGTATTAATTTTTTTTACTATTTAAAAATACGCCTCAACTACCGGGGTTATTGGGGTTTCTAAAGAAGCACATTAAATTTTAAAATTTCGAAAATGCATTAAATTGATGCATTAAGGTTTATATTATTGAAATTACATGTGATATGTATGTGGTCTTGTTACATCTTCTGAAATAGGTTCGTCTCTTTGAGGAAAATGTATTCCTATTTATTACATTACGACATATTCTTGTTATTCCTTAAATACGAAAAATAAGTTTTTGAAAGAATATTATGTATGTATGTTAATGAAAGAAGTTAGATTTTTTTTTTTGCCACATTTTGCTACATAAATTTACATTAATACACAAACAATTTTTTATTAGAAACTTTATTATTTATTAATCATTGTCATTATATTTCATCAAATATCTACTTTCATCAAATTAAGACTATTTCTCGACAATATTAAAACAATTTTATGTCCTCTAGATGTCATTCGCCAGAAATATAAGCAATCATACACTTATATATATATATATATATATTATATATGTGTGTGGCTATATCCCTGTACATAATATTTTTCCCACATTGAGTTTGCCACCTCTGCACCACTCCTCACTGTCTAAAATAAGTGAGCCCATCAACAAATTAACGAGACACCCTAACCTATATCATAACCTACTTTATTCATGGATGAACCTTTATAATTGACTAGAATAAAAACAGTGGTTCTAAAAATTATATTAATAGTAACTCAACAGCTTAAAATTTAAAATATTCATGAATTATAGGTACCTATATATTGCAATAATCGTTTTAATCGTAATTATAAGCTAATAAAAAATAGTCATTTATTACTAAAATAGTATATTATATAGTTTATATGTATTATGATTATTTTAGTTTCTCAAATGTTCAATGATAATCATAAAAATAAATATAAAATATGAAACATGAAATACCTAACTATTTAGAAATGCTAATACGAGAAATATAATAAATCAATATTGCAACGTAATAAATAAGTTAAAAATAATGTTAATACAGATATTGTGGTAAAATAATTTATCAAAATTCAAATTTCAGTTATTCGCTGATTTTTAATACCTTTCTTTAATTTGGAGAAGTTTAAAAAATTGAGAAAAGATTCTAAAACCACTATTCAAAAAAAAAACGTTTTTAGCATGCGATAATAATTACTTAAAAATATAATAAGGAACATATAATATTTATTGGTAGGCACATCTTTCCCTGTGAACTACGGTGCACCCAAAACTGTGACCTGTTCAATGTGGGGAGAATGGTTTTTTGTACGTATAGACCCCTCCTAAAAGTCTTATTGAAAACTGAACATTGCCCGCATGTTTAAATGTCGATTAAAAATGATGGAAATAAATGGCTATTAAAGATAATTTCTGGTGTCGACCAAGTTTACACATAGCTGTAATGTGGACATATCAGTTTGAACGTTTGTACCTAAATGTCTATAAAATGTCTATCAAAAGTTCGTCAACATTTTCTTATTCAAATGTGAATATGCATAAATTATTAAAAATGTGGATTACTTTACAAACTATATTAAATCATGTAAGTAATTTACTTGTTAAAATAATATAATTATATAATTATAACATTATATTATACAGTGTGTATTAGCATGTAAAATAACCAAACGTAAATGTTTGTATTAATCAATACAACATAAATGCATTTATGTATAGACTTATATAGTTTTTAAATGTAGATTTAAAACATACCTCGTTTAGTTCTAAATAATATCCACACACAAGACATTTTTCACAAGCAGTAAATCTAAAGATTTTATCACAAAAAAAATGATTATTTATTATAATTTTTTTTAATCACATCTATCAGCTTTTGATTTTTAAATAAAAATATTGTTCAGTGTTGTGTATTGTACGACTATTATTTAAATTGTAGGTGTTTCGTTATTTTAAATCGTGACGAAAATTATACACTACACATGTAGATTGGATAGTAGGTACTAGTATAATTCTAGGTTCTAATATATTAATTTGCCTTTAATAAATAAATGTAAGTATTAATTATTTGAATGCATAACTAATAAAAAAGAAACTCTGATCAGCAAAGTTTTTTTATAAAAAAAAAAATTAATACTATACACCACTCTCCTATATATAGTGATTTCATAGCGAAAGAATTAGATTGTTTATCACACAGTATTTACTAGTATCCAAAGTCTAGTTTTATCATAAACTAAATATTACTATAAGAGTTTTATTCTGTCTAAAATTATTTTAGGTTTGGGTTCACAATTAAAAGATAGGTTCGTTGTTCCAAAGTAAATACCTGTATGCTATTATCAATATTGGTTCACGTTCATTATATTATACTTAATCTTAACTGAAAGAAAAATAAATAAAAATATTAATTAACGGTTTGTATTTTTATGGCAAATTAATGATTGCCGATAGGTACAGACTACATTGACAAATAAGATAGCATTGTATGAATTTAAAAAAAAGGTGTCCCATAAAAATTCATCGCGTGACAATTTATAGTAATAAAATTCATCATGATAACTTTCCTAGTGACTCATACAATTTTAATTTATTATTTTATTAAAAATAAAAACTATTAAACCACAAATTATTCAATGACCATAGTGGTCTCAAGTTTGTCCTAGTTGTTACAGGGAGTCAAAAGTTGAAGAATCCGTTAAATTTTCTTAATATTTTAGAAAAACTAAAAAAAAACAGTGAGAAACTGAAATTTTTATAAGACATCAGTTTTTGACGACATCGATTTGGTTTTTATTCCGTTATAATTTAGAAAAAAATAACCGTAAGGACTTGCAATTTTCAACATATGAATTGTATTTTTATTAATTTCCTATGTAGTTTAGCTTTTTTTTACTCTTCATAGACATATGGTCCACCTTATTTAGTTGTTTTAAATTTATTTTGATAACAACTTTGTATCTCCGTCAAACAGCTTGAAAATTTGATACATAATTATTCTTATAAACGTTATAAATATCGTAACTAAGTGGTATCGTACTTCTAAGTGTTAAAAGTTCAAATTTTAACAAAATTGGATAGTCAAACATAAAACAACGATTTTAGATATGTTATTGTAATTCAAAAATTTAAGACTTGAAACTGGAAACTTTTTGTCATAAAGTAGGTACATTATTTTCTAGTTTTCTTTAAAATACATTTTCAAAATATTTAGAATTATTTTAAGCTATTTATATCTTGATTTATACCATTCTAAGGTAAGTCAGTATTGACATATTCACATATTATTAATAACATTAAGGTATTATAATACCTAACTAATAATATAATATACGCAAAAGTTTACTAGTAATAAGTTTAACATGCCGTATTTCTAATAGAAAAGTAAACAACTTATGTAGTAATATGAATACATTATAAAATAGTCTTAAAACATATAAATTGACACATAGCCGTAACGAGGAGTCTCCGTGGCTGAGAATTGCTTATCGTAACTATTATATGATAATTACAGGGTATACCTACTCAATATTTTTTTGTAAAAACCCATAAATTAGATTGATGATAAAATTATCCACGATAAATTGACGAGACGATATAAATTGTCACATGATAAATATAATACGATGCATTGATGCACATGTAACATATTATATCACTAAACGAGACTTGGCCATTTAAGATTATGACTATACATTTGATATTGTTTATGTTTTCATCGAAATATCATATTATTAAAAGCAAAAGTCGATTTTTATTTAACATGCCTTGACTAAATCTACCTACATTTAGTACCTGTCTATACCGAACACATGTCATTTTTTACAGTAAAAACTGTACTAAAAATGTATAAGGTTATTTTAATAACAATTATTATTGTATTTTTTTATGACTAGTAAAAATTGAAGATAGTAAATAAAAATGCATAATATATGCACATAACCACTTAATTTTTGTTTTAGCTACAAATTTATGAAAATCATATACATTTTAATTCAGTACTTCATTAAGTGATAAAAATTAATTACAATGTCAAGCTCAAACCAATCAATGGGATTCGAACCGTAAGTAAATAAGTAAAACAGTTATTAGAAGTTATTCACTACTATCATCATTCATCATGCATACAATTATTATATTTTTTAGATGGTTAAAAGAGAACCAAACAATTAGGTACGCAGCGGCGTTCATAACGTTGCTTATTATGTGTATTGGAATTGTAGGTAATAGTTTGACTATATTAGTGATACTAAAAAGTCCACGGATTCGAAATGTAGCTTCTGCATTTATCATCAGGTAATGTATGAAAATTAATAACTATCGATTAATAATATTATATGAATTTAATCATTGAGGAACAATTCAGAATTAAATAGTTTATTAGGAAACATTCAAATAAAGTAGATAAAGCATAAGAAACACTAAACCAAACAGACATTTTCAAATAAAATAGATAATATTGAACAATAAATATAATATATTTTTATTATAAATACAAAAGTTTTTTTTGTGCTAAGACTTAAAATAAAAATAAGAATCATTAAAAAATGTTCACTGTTATAATTTAAAATCTAGAACCAGCTTGCCATTAAACTAGTATCATAATGTTAATTTATATATCTCCTGTTTTCATACAACTATAACACTACTCTGTAAATATATTTATTAATATCTTCAGACCTTTTAAGATTAAAATTTAAGTAAATATATTAAATATATTAAGTTTCTATCATTCTATACTACAATAGAATAACTTATATTATCGATATGTTTGTTCGTCATAACATCAATGCCACATTATAGTCATGTAGATATCAATTTTATTTTATTCAAAAAATTGAGTTCTATGATAGTTTTTGGAGAATTTTTTTAGAGGTATGTAAAAAAATTGAATAAGTATATTCAATGCTTTTATTTTATTGTTTAATATCGTACATCTATTATATTTTGTATAGTTATCAATAAACAATAATCAACACTTGTTCAAATGTATTACAATTTTTAATATTAGTTTGTCAAAACTTTGGACATTTACAATATATATTTTAAACTTGAACATATGATATAATAACTATATAATATTAATCATTATTTATATTTAATTGTATGCTCATATTAAGTTAAAAGTTATAACTTATTTAATTTGAAAAACCGAATTCCGAATTTATTCATGTTATACTCTTTTTTCATAATATTTTGTACTCTATTTCATATTTTACGCATTAATTAATTTATGAGTAGGTAAATATTTTCATTTTATTATTACAACATTATTCTTTAGTTATAAAATATAAATAGTACTGTTTAATCTCTTAAGGTTGACTTATTATAAAAATCATTGTTGACTAAACAACTTTAATAAATGAGTCGCTTTATTAATTTCTACAGTCTAGGTGCGGCTGATTTGTTATTCTGCATTGCCGTATTGCCATTCAATGCTTCAAGATTCTTAAATATTAATTGGATACAATACCCAGTACTATGTTCAATAGTACCATTTTTCCAATATGGAAATATTGGTATATCACTGCTCTTTATTACTATGATAACCATAAATAGGTAAGTCAATTAGTATAATATTTAATATTAACACCTAAATCTTTATTATTTTAATTTGAATAAATTGTTATATATTTAAGACTATTTTCTGAAAAATATTTACAATATAAACTAATGCAAACAATTTTATATTTTTAAAAATCATAAATATGTAATAAAATATTTTATTATTTGTTTAAATATCTAAAATTCTAATTAAAAGGTACATTACAGATTTCCAAATATATAATTCATTATGTATGCAAATGCTGAAATGCTTACCTAACCAAATATGCAGTAAATTATATCACCCAACAAAATATATAGGTAAAATAATACAAAAAAAGATAGGTTAAATTGGCAAGACTTTGAACATACGATTAACAAACTATTTATTGATATCACAAACTAATTTTTGTAAGTCAACTACCATCCCTATTAGTTTATAAAATTTACTTATAGGTAATATTAATGTAATATTTTTAACATTACTGATCATAATTTTAATTATAATTAATAATTATTAGTCAGTAAAGAAAAAAAATTATATTATAATATTGTGTTATTACTAAATGATTAAATAACAGAATAATAGAACTATTTTTAACATTTTTTTTTTACTACCAATGGTTTTTATTTACCAAAAATGAAAATTAATTAGTATATTATATAGTTAACATAATATAATCATTAGAATTATTTCAATTTATAATAATATAAATAAACTAAATGGTCAATATTCTAGGTGAGAAACGTTAGATCACGTGCTTGAAAATTGGAATATTGTAGGTTAGGTTAGTTGTGACCCAGATGAAAAAGTTAATAAGAAATAATATTCTGGATAATGATACGGGCCGATGACAAAATGTAGGGTGCGGGAATGTTATATGATCGCCAAGGGACTGGTGATAATAACTATAATAAAATACAACGTGACAAAAGGTTGCTCACATCGAAAACTCCAGGAGCCGTGGGTAGACAATACAGATAAATACAGAATCACTAATGTAATCTAAGATTGACAGTATAATACATGATATACAAATTTTGTAACAATAATGAACTATAAAAGCAATGCGGAAATATATTAATAAACGTGCTAGAAACAGACAATTATAGCCATTGTTAATAACAAGGAATATTAATTGATCGAGATCATATGTAGAGACAAATGTAAATTTTTACAGTAAATTATTTTAATAATTAATATAGATCATATTATATGAATTTAAAAGCAATATTAAGAATTTCGAATAATATTTTATTTTTGATAACTGAGATTTAATTTGCACCTAACAATATATACTACAATATACTGGATGATTCTTTTAAAGCTATACCCATTATCTCAAAACATATTAACATTTATGAAAGTATTATTTATATTTTTCAAATAAAAACAAACAATACTTTTATACCCAAGTTAAATATTCAGTTATAAGTATTTAAAGTTGTTTGAGAGGAGTAGTGGAATGTACTCCTGTGTCATTCCACTCTACTCGTCGAATCTTGAAATATGTATAAGACCTCAGAAAAATAGTATGTACAAAATATGAGATTAAAAATGTATGTTATCATTTGAAAAAATAAAACTTAAAAAATTTAGAATAATGTATAATGCAGAACAAATGAAAATATTTTTTCTTCGTATATGTTGTTTTTTAATAACTTCAATAATTATGTAAAAAAAATATTTTTATAAAAGTAAATATGGTTTGAGATAGTGAGTGCTTAAAATAATCAATCAGTAAAGTTCTAAACTAAATTTTAGTTATTACACTTGTTGCTTAGTATTCATTCAATAAAAAAATATTTAATTTAGGTATATAATGATCGTTCATTCAAGCTTATATAGTATAGTATATCGTCCAATATGGATAACTTCCATGATAATACTTTGTATAATTATTTCGTTTGGCATGCTGGTACCTACCCTTTTAGGTAAATGGGGTATGTATTTAATAATATTATAAATCGCATACCTAAATTGTAATATTTTATAATTATATTTTTTAAGGTAAATTTGAAAATGATCCAAAGTTGGGTTCATGTTCTATAGTATCTGATGAATCTGGTCGATCTTCTAAATTTGCACTTTTCATCACTGGGTTCATCATACCGTGTATTGTAATTGTTTGCTGTTATACTAGTATATTTTGGGTTGTTCATAAGTAAGTAAATTCAAATATATTTTATTTTATTCAATAAATCAAAACAAAGTTCTGAGAAGAAATTAGTTTCAACTGTTTTTAAGTATTAAATTCCCGTAAAATAAATTTTGCTTGAACACGAATTTCTATATTTCTATTAGAAATTAAAGATTGAAACGATATTGATCCTACCTAAAATGTGTCTGTAGACTGCAAAATATTTTTTTTGATTTTAATTAAATAGTTAAAAATAATAATATATAAGTACGTAGGTAGTCAAAAAATATCATACGCGAAGAAAAATAAAATTATTATATAACATTTCCTAGTCTTTACGGTAGTAATTATAAACCAACAAGATTTTTTAAACAGGAACGAAGTACATATATCATCAAAATTATACAAATGTTTTATTTAGTTTAAAAATGTTAAAAACTGAACTAATCACATATTCACATGTCTATTATATTATCGTCATTTAGATTATTTATCTGTTAAAATATTAAGTCTCGTTGTTTTTTAAAAAGTTGGTACTTTTAAATTCCAAAAACTCTTTTTCAAATACTGAGTAGGCATATTGATTAATTAAATTTACAATCGATTAAGAGTGAAACTTTTGGAGTTATATTTTTATTCCAAACGATAGACTCGTATCCAAATAAAAAAATAAATAAATTCGTCTACAACATTTTCAAATCAAAGATGCAAACGATTCGTTTGTTCAAAATCTAAAATACTAAATATAATTAAACTGAGTAGGTACTAATATAAAATATTTAAATTAAAACATCCGAAAAACGTTTGAAAATATTTTTTTCATTTAATATAAAGATTTTTAGTAAAAATGTTCTTAGTAGTGAAACAAAATTTCAAAAAAATAATTATTTCAATCAGTTTAGTAGGATAACAATATTATTATTGTGAAGTTAATTTTACATAATACTACAATATTCCATAACCTTGTACAATATAATAATAGAAGATAATGTATTTTTTTTGTGGATGTACATACCTAGTATTAAATTTATAATAATAATAATAAAGAAATTGAATTAGGTAATATCTATTAACAGGTCAGAACAACGAATGCGAAGACATCAACTATCCACCCAAAGTGATCCAACAGTAACAAATATGCAATCTATAAAAAGAAAACTTAGTGAATGGAGGATTACTAAAATGGTGTTAGCTATATTTTTATCTTTTGTACTTTGCTATTTGCCAATTACTATCACAAAAACATCAGATCCAGATGTCCAATACCCAGGTAAATAGTTAAGAACAAAATACCTACGTATAATATAAATTTGATTACAAAATCATTTCATGTATTTACTTGGATTTTCTAGTCTCTAATGCAATTTTATAATTAGAACTATACAAAATTGTATTTATTGTACACTTTATTTATATCCTGTCCCACAATAAAAAACGAATATATTTTTTAATTATTTTACGAATGTAAATATAAATCTGTGAAATCCGTGTGTATAATATAATATAACCTATATAGTATTATAGTTATCTTATAAGTTTTAAACATACAATTTTGATAAAATATTTCAATAGATGGATGTTTAGAAACTACTTATCCACACAATTATGCAACTTATAGGTTTAATGCAACAATATAACATGAACAGAATTAATAAAGTTAAATTAAACTTTTGTAATATTATTATTTTATACAGTGTTTTTTTAATACACTTGTATAAATATTAAATAGTCGGTACCTAAGTTGTACATAATATAAATGCACAATGTACCTACCTAAATTACTATAAAGTATGAAACACCATTACACAAAAAATAGCCTACACAAGTTACAGCTATAAAAAGATATTTTGTTAAACACAATGAAATAATTTTATTCTTAAACCTTTTACTCTAAAGTGATTGCATAACAGTATCCGGTGACATGAATTTCACATAATCAACAATTTAGTTTAAAAAAATTGGTCGTTTAAACTAGATCAAGTAGTAACTAAGATTTCAAACCTAACCTACCATAACGATTCTGAACGAAGTCTGTCCATTATAATATGGATATTTTATTATATTAAAAATTATTACTTTAATATTAAAAATTAATCAAAATATAAATTAAACTGCATGTCTGCATCTATTATAATATTATTATTTATTTATATGCATAACCATAATAAAACCTAACATATGTTTTTATTTAATTTAGCTCTTCTCTTGATTGCGTATATTATGGTTTACGCGTCAGCATGTTTCAATCCAATTATATACGTCATAATGAATAAACAGTATAGAAAAGCATTTAAATCAGTTCTAAGTGTTGGATGTTGTGAAAAAGCTACAAAACGAGTACCTGTTTTGAGATCCATATCGAAACGTCTACAGCCACACGGTAACTTGACATCATCAACTGGCATGCGAACAATAAGCCCGGGTTAAGGGGAAATTGGATTTTTTTTTTTTGAGCTTCAAATTCTGCAATAGGTATATTTTCTTTTTAGTATCATTTAAGAACCAACATTAAATTGATTTATTAGAAAATAGTTCTAAAAAAATAGTATTAATATTATACCAGCTCCATTGTTATATTTTGTTTCTTGTGTTTTTGTATTGATGTTAGGTATTATAATTATTATTTTTTTTTTTTGGATTTTCAATAATTATTTTAAACTTTCAATAATCGAAAAAATAAAAACAAATTCATACAAATAAATTGATCTGTTATGTTTTCAAATAATTATAAATTATAATTATAATCATCATTATTTTCCGGAAAAACTCCTTCAAAGCTCGGAAAAATTACAATGAATTTAGAACCGGGAAGTAGTAAAGACTGCGCTTGTGAAAATATTGATGATATTTGTTCTCCAAGAAATATAGTATACAGCAATAAATCATGATAGTATAAAAAGAGAATTTTCAAAACGAAAAAAAGTGATTAAATTTTATGTATGTATACTGTATAGTGTACCTATAATACTGGTTTAGTATTTTTTTTTATACAAGATTAAAGTTATGGAAAATTTTTCTTAATCCGGGCTTGCATGAGAATTGTGAGAATACATTAAACACATTTGTTATTAAATCAAGATATTATTTCTCCGTGTTTAATGTTTTTTTTAATTTGTGGTATTACATACAATTAAATTATCATGAATGTTTACATTAGATGGTGGTCGTTTAGGTGAGTGTTATAATTTTGATCAGATTTTACTAGAATTTTTGGTGACACATATTTTATACCGTTCGAGTGAATTAAATTATTTTTTCTGTGTGAGCAATACCTATAGACTTTGATGCACATGTAATTTAATTTAATTTATTGTTGACTATACTTTACCACTATAAAACATGTACTAATATCTTAAAAAGTTAGAGTCCATTATTAATTATGTATATAGAATCTGATTATTTTATTATTTTTATTTTATCTATTGACAGTGCACATTACTATACAGTATATAATATAAATTTATTTACTTATAAACCTATTCATACTTAGTCATCCAAATGGTATTTTCGGTGCAATAAACCCTTGCCCAAACGGTATAGGTATGCGCATAAATAGTAAATGTACTGACAAGTTATGTTATAATGATAATTATTAATTGATTTATAACTATTAATTTATTTATATATTATATTCCTAATACATTAGTACGAAGTAGGTTCCTTTATTGTTTTTACAAATTAGGAAAAAATCAGTTTTAATTTATATTTTAATTTATAATATTATTCAACTTATGTTCAGGCATTTATAATGTGAAATACCTATTCAATGTTATCTATTCTCAACACCTATATTGTATTCCACAAATTTAATTATTATACTCACTTGTATGGATTGTAAATTTTCATTAAATAAACGAATGAAAAAATATTATTCATACATAAGAAATTTAATTCAAATTATTTTCTCATTTTTATAATTAATATTTAGTTAATCATTGATTTAAGATACTATTTTGAAATATAACAAGAATAATATTACGTAAGTACATTATGCTGGATTATAATTTATAATTCAATTATGTCTTCTGAAAAATTATTTTAATGGGCATTTGACAAAAAATAAAATATTTTTTTTAACATTTCTTTAATTAGTATTGTTTTGTCTAAATTATTTTCCTTTTATATAGGTAATAGAATAAAGCATCCTAAATTCACAATTCTTAGAAATTATGTCTATAAACTTTATCCTAATTAGTAATCTCTTGTTTAAATATTTTTGAATTAGTAATTCATTGAGTAGGTAGTACACTATATACTGGTGTGAAATAGATAATAATATAAATGAAATACATATTTCTCATATAAAATATTATATATTTTAAACTATAATTATCATGTCATACGATATAAATTATAAGTATCATATACAATATACATTATAAGTATCATATACAATATACATTATAAGTATCATATACAATATACATTATAAGTATCATATACAATATACCTACACTATAAGTACCATAATACGTAACATAACTCATTAGTAGACACTTATTAGTCACTTAGTAAATACCTATTTGATGTTATTTATTTTTAAACTTTACACACTTAAATTTCAGGAAAAAATCAAGAAGACCGTGGATTTGGGACAACTGTATCACATGTGTCATCGATTGCTCTAGAATCGTTGGACCACAATAATAGGATTTCGAGTTTATAGCCTAGCTTAACATAATTTTACTAAAGAGTATTTTTATATTTTACTTTTGCTACACAATTTTTGTTCATACATGGCGTTTATGATTTTAAGTATTCTTTTCAACGTCAACAAATGCCTAATAGTATATTTAATGTAAATAACACAAACTACCTACCTACTACAACAAATACTTAGTCTAAAAGATTCAAAACATTTCCTAACTTTAAGTTTTGTACTTGAATAATAAAACTAAAAATAGAAATAAAATTGTAATAAATAACTATATCGTATATAAATTAATACATCTAGATACATTCCTGATTTACAAAAACTATAAAGATATTTTTGCCATGAGAACAGCGTAAGTGTTTGAAATATATATGATTCATAACTATGTCACAAATATTCTATGGTCAGCTTTCAGAACCTATTTGTTACAACGAACATTACGATAATAATTTACAACACAATGGTACTTTTCGTATAATATATAGACAGTACCTATATATAACCTATATCAAATCAAAATACCAAACATCGCAGCAATAAAGAATTTTTCCGATGTCAAGATCCAGTCCGCGACCGAATGTATGCTCCAGGTTTTGACGATCTTCGGAAAAATCGCCAAAAAGTGTTGGACGACTGTGATCTTGCGAGTTTGCTACTGCTTAAACGATTTATATCGTTGTCTAATATAGCATCAGAGTAAACTTCTGCAGCCAAGGCACTATAGATATAGGGTTGCCGTCCGTCGCATCATCTAAAGCGGCAGAAATGACACATGCCACCGCAAAAGTTAGCGAAATCGAAATGCTGTCATCCGTCTCGTCGTCTTTGCCACCGGTTCGGCTGGTCGAAGCCAACGCGCTGCAGTTAAGTTCAATAAAGAACATGGTAGTTCAATATTTGGTGTACAGAATCAAAAAATGACTCTACAAAACCGCCAGACAACGTGAGACAGTTAGTTTTGAAGACACGGTAACCCGAGAGCGACCGATAAGATGCAGAAACGGACCCGATGGTAACCTCGGTCTACAGTCCTATCACAGCTCACTGTGGAGTCGAACGGACAGATTCGTCAGGAGAATGTTTGGTTGGGGTGCTATTAAAATATACCGTAGTGTATAGAACTTACAACGTTTTAAAATGAATGTTTGAGGCATCGCCTTTTAAACGTCACTGCGGGCTTTGAAAATTCGCTGAGTTTGATACACTACCCTCTCACTATCGCACTTGGGTCGTACGCCACTCCACTTTTATATATAGATGGACGCCTGTTGTGCCGTACAATCCATTCGATGTCATTTTACGTCCGCCACTGTACGCGTTCGTCCTGAGATCGCTCCGAATTTAAGGAACCGGATGGACATTAGTTGTGTTCCACCTGTTCGTGCAGGTTTTCCACACGTACTTCGTGTACTGTGCTGACGTCGGATGTCCACGCTTAGCCAAGCACAAAGGACATTGGCTATATTATGTAGATTTACACAATAAACATTTTTGTTATGTTATTAAATTGGTTTTTATTTGATAGGTATTATACTATTTTTTATTAACGCATCAACACTCTGAAATACAATTATGTTATTCGGCTAATGGAAAGTGGAAATTGTATCTTTATTGTACAGATATACTTCGACATTTTTGTAACTGGTGTAAAAGTTACAAGAAGCCTTGTGTTGAATTTTCAAGTTTTTTGACCAAAGAACAAAACAATAATTACTTATATCAATAATAGTTAGACCATTTGCAGAACAAACGCACAATATTATATAGAAACCGGAGCTTAACACTCATTCATAATATTATCTTAATATGGTCCATTTAAACCTTTTTAGTGGCCTGCCTCACGTTGGTACTATAGAGATACTTCGGGACCATCAAAAGGCAGGCCACTCGAATAGCAATTTGATATCCACTTAACAAAGTAATATAGCCAGTAGTCACCACTCTTATGGTAAGAGATGTTAATATATACATAGAAAGTATCCGCTGAAAGAACTCGTTATTCTGACAATTCAGAGACAGCCTAAGTCGTAACAATATTTTGCAATTTTTAGAAAGGGTGTAAAATCTTATATTTTATAACTATTCATAATTTAATATTTTTGCCGCTGAACCATAATACCGGAAAGTTGGTACAAAAAAAAATGTTGTGTCAGATCATAACGAAAAACTCGTGGGTAGAATTGAAATCCTGTTTTGAGTTGTCCAATATTTCGAATATTACGATTTTCTATGATTATATAATTTAGTTTTTAACATATCTATTGAAGTACTACGTAAATATACATGAATTTTCATCCCCAAAACCTATATTTTAAAAATATTTTTTGAAATAAATTACATTTTAATCATCATTAAAAATAAAATTAAGTACTTACAATAAGTAATATCTGATTTCACCAAAAATGTCAAGGATGAAGAAACTCGCATTTACAAAAACAGAAAAATATCAATAATGTTATTTTTTGGTACTGCAAACTTAAAAACAAGATGTTGAAGTTTTGAAATATTTAGAACATAACTTCCAAAGAATATTTAATCGAATTTTTATTGAGCATGCAAAAATGCACATTTATTCTGGAATAAAGAATTTCACAAAAATCACTTAGAAACTAACCTGTATTGTTCCAATATTTCATATTATTTACATCTATTAGTTATTTCTTAAATATAGGGCCCAATCAGACGATCTGATTTTTCTGGCCGGTCGCCGTGTTCCTCCAAGCACACTAAATATTTCAGAGCCAACGAAAAACGTCACTGTCAATTTACCACAATAATCTAACTATACATAAAAAACCGGACAACGGTCGGAAAAATTCAGTCATCTGTTTGGACTCTAAAAGCAGGTTTCCACTCTACGCGTATGTCGTGTACAAGAAAAATGTTCAGCTATGTCCAACAACACGGTAACGTGGTTAATCGCGTGGTAACCTAACCTAATCAACCAATCACAGCAAAGGATTTAAGCGAACGTATGTACCAGGTGGAAACCGATCTTTAGGTTTCTATATTAATAAATAATATCAATTTTTTATCTTTTTATTGTTTCAATAATAATAATTAATTAATTATGATTGAAAATTTTATTTTTTTATAATTTATTCCATTACAAACTTAATATTTGACGGTAGCGAACCTTTTTTTTCATACCCTCTGTAAAGAAGTTTCTCTTCATCCGAGTTACTATCCGCTTACTATTGTAACTCACACGATTTTTTTTTACGCAAGGAACTTGGAACACTATTTTATTCAATTTTAAAAAATTTTCTAAAAGGGTGGATCCGACCCCGCATCCGTTCCTAATATACGCCCCTGCTAATTAAATATTTTATTTCTCATAGATAAAATTGAACGATATTTGTTATTAGTTAGTAGTATTTAATATGTAATTCACACAACAAAAATAATGTTAGGCATGCATAGGTATATCTTAACAAAAATGTCCAAGCTTATAATTAGATGATTATTAGGCAAGCCAAACCACGATATAAACAACATTAAATGAATACAGCCATCTAATGTCCTAATATTTTTTAATAGATAGTAAACTAGTAACTATAAGTTATATACCTACTTACATACAAAATATATACAATAATTGAATAATATAATATAACATTTATAGGTATAGCCGTATAGCCGTATAGCCGTATAGATACTTATAGTGTTCAATGCATAGGTACTTATCATTATCAATAGGTAACATATTAATATGACGTATATTATTAAAATAGAAACTCATACCTACCATAATTGTTATTCTAAGTTATTTCCTTTCGTAATAAGTAGAAAGATTGCTTCAAAAAATACATAGGTAACATATATAAACGTAAAACATACAAAAAACACTTTGTCACGAAAGATGAAACATAAAAAAAACCGTAAAACGTAATTGTAAAAAAAAACATAGACTAATAAATAAAATAATTATTCAAATAAAATTTGAATTCCATTTGTTGCAATCATAATATTATAATTTAACTTATTTAACATCATTAGTTTACTACAGTTTGCCTGTACATCAGTACCATTATAGAACCATAGAACAATATGTCAATACCATACTGACTTTTGTAGCAATGCTACCACGGTAACTAACACGTATAATATTATACAAATACAGACCAGTGATAACCTTATCTTTTGTTTTAATCATGAACTAAGATATCTTAGTTCATGGTTTTAATCATAATTTATTTGATAGTGATTTACTTTACAATCAAATGAAAAATGAACAGCATGTCTGTATAAGCAATAAGCATTAAACATTTAAATTTTGAGCAAATAACTATTAGCAAAAGTACTGTTAAATAAGTGTTAACAAATTAAATGATTATTATTGTTTTTAAGTCGTCTAGTAGGTAATATTATACATCTAAACCATGCCGTTCATGAAAGGCGCTGCTCCTATACGGAGGACTATACAATATTTGGAAGCTGGTAAGATAGTATTCAAAGACCGAATTAAAATTGTATCCATTCACTACAACACACTGGGTGAAAATCATCGTGGCACCCGAGATTTTGTATTTTGGCACCTCCCTCAAATTCAATTTAAAAATCCTGATGTTCAAGTGATGACTCTTAAGAACATGACACCAACACCATTCATAAGGTACTTGAGCATATTTTCATACATAATAACAGTTGAACGAAACCCATTAAGTTATTAATATTTATTATGAATGTAAATGTTCATTTAGATGTTTCATGAGCGATGGTAAAGATGTATTGATTGATGTTGATAATCGTGACAAAGATCGAATTCATGACCATGTTTTACAAGTTCTTGGAAAACCAAAAGAAACACTTGACATGGAAGCCAGGGCTAAAGAAAAAAAAGATAATATTGCCAATTTTGGATATATGTGTGAAAAACATTGTATGTGTGAAATTTTTGGACAAGTTCCTTGTCCAGCAGTTGTGCCATTGCCCAAATCTTGGAGAGGCAAATACAAAAATGAAGAATCGTAGTTTGTAACACTCGGTTTTATGTAAATACTTTTTTTTCAGTATAATGTTAAGGTTGATAGTCACAATAAAATGGAGTTCTTTTCATAAACTGTTGTAAATATGATTTGCATTTAATCATACCACACATATTATTTGATTCATAATTTTGTCCTTTTCCAAATATTTAAAATGTCATTTTTTAAATTTGTGGGTTATCACTTAAAAAAATAATCATTCTTTTTTCTAATTTATTTATATTTCATAGTACAAGTGGACTGTTTTCATTACTTTAATCAATCTAAACTTTTTAATAAAATGTTTAAACAGTAATGATCAATATTTTTATGTGGATGAATATCAAAATAACCATCAAGTATCACCTTATAAAAACCAATTTTTAGTTTCCTTCCCTAAAAAATAAAAAACGCATCAAAATTTTCGTCCTTTTTCTAAACTAAATTGCGTATTTTTTATAAAATATAATTTTTTTTTTACTACTTATTAACATATGACTGTAATATGCACAATAAATGACCACATACATTTAAAATATCTACCTAACTAAGTATATAATATCTTTTTTATTCTTAGACCTTTCGCTTTATTGATTTCAATTATAGACTCAAATACATTGGTCCCAAATTAAGTACAATAAGCACCTACTGCTGAATTATAATATATTATAACTTAAGTTTGGAAAATCCATGAGAGGTAGACAAACCAAAAATTCACAAACTTCCTAATTAATATCTGTTCAAATATTTGTACTATTTGTTGTTAAACTTTTGGATAGTGACCTTTAGAAAAAACTTTTATATAAATAATTCTGATAGTCTTAAGATCAGTTATTTACACTCAAATTACAGTTTGTAGTTATCAATTCAAATTTTGTATTTATTTTATTTGATTATCCTAACAAAATATTATCAAGTAGTCTATTTAACATAGTATCAAAAACTGCTCAATTGTGTTAGTTATTTTTATAAGTTCTAATCAATTGCTATGAACTACATTATTTTTTAACCATCAATCTATAAATATTACTCCTACTTTTAATATAAATGTATTATATTGATAAAAATAAGATATAAAATAGACTTTAGATAGATACCTATTAATAATAATTATTATGTACAATCACAGATAATCCACATTTTATGAATAATAAATTGTGGTTGTAACTTGTAAGTCCTATATTAAATAGACCAAATTCAAATGATATCAAGAAGTAAGAACCTATTAAATCCATCAAAAAATATATCTTATTCATCTGTTAAATCTGGTATTGGCACTCATTCCCTAGATCTTTTTTAAACATTATATCTAGTTTAAAAATATTTGATATTATTAGTAAAGAAGAATAATTCAAGTTGAATTTCAAAGTTCAAACAAGTTTTTTTTTAGTTAACACACCCACAGGCAATGTTAAATCGAAGATTAACATAGTGAGTGTCGAGTGCTCTCTTATATAATATTTGAGGCGACTGAGTCCTCTTGATTCTAATTTTGGAGAGACAGTGCTCTCAATTACTGCCAATGTATCAATGTGGCAAATGCACAAACTAGGACGAAAACACTGATCGTGTTGACCATACTTTTATTATTTCTTGATCTTATTTTATACTATGATGCTGAGCAGTGAGCATTAAATTTAGTAAAAGGTCTGTAATAATAATAACTGTAGGACTCGGGACTTCTAGGAGTTTGCATGTTTTTAAATAATCATTAAAAACATAGCTAAGTAAAATAGAAATTTGTTTCATAGCATTACAAGTTTATATTTAAAATTTATAGTTGCATATTTGACCATATTTGACCATATTTCATTTATAAGTGCATATATGACCATTTTTCATTTTATTAGTGCATATTTGACAATATTATTTATACAAGGAGTAAGTTTTTAGTTTTATAAAAAAATTGTATTCTAAATAGATTTCCTGGACCGGATATAAATATTTAAAAATTAATGTTTGCATTTTTCTTGCCAATCATTATAACTGTATTGTTATTTATCGGTATACCACACTCGTGATTCCCGACAGGCGATGAGCCGATAATGATACCAAAAAAAACTATGACTAGTTGTGGATAGAGGCCAGACAAACCCTTGAATAGTAATAGTTGACAGTTGGAGTCGTGCGTTCTTCGTATTTTGGTTTCATGAAGTGTTTTTTCTTTAGAGCGAGCCCATAATAAAATAATTAAAAAATGCTTAAACCAAAACCTTATGATTTAATAAGAAAGTCAAAAATAAATCAAAAAAGAATATCATTTTTTTAAAATGCGTATTTATTGATTCTTTAGTGCACAAAGTCCCTAGCCCTAATTAATAAGTTATAAGTTATAACTAATACAAAAATATGTAAAAGCAAAAATCGCTTATAGTAGCGTCATCTAGTGGCAAAAGTAAGTAGTAGTCGCTGGAGGTTGCATTCAATATTTCCATATTCGTTAAAATATTTACCACAATGGAGATAGATAGCGCTACTTATTTCGTTCGAACCATGAACATTAAAATTTAAAATTTTTCAGTACAGATATTCTTTACTCTATGGTAGAGATAGACGATAGTCACATTATCATATGGCACCACGATATAATATCATATTATATTATAACCTATCTATAATCGTGTATGGCACGAACCTTGCTTTATGACATAATTTGTAAACTTGCTTTTTACGCACGATTAAAGATACCTATCCATACTTATTCTAAAGACATGTTTTTACGAGTTACTGTTACGAGCGAAGATCCAGAACTTGGACTTCATGTCTTCATATTATAATGATTGCTATCAACCAGCAAATCGTGTATAGGTACAAAGATATCGATTATTTATGAGCTCACTGCTTATGACAAGTCAAAGTTGAAAGTAGTAAATTGAGGTTCACCGTTTGTCTACATCCAAGTCACCCGGTTAGCAGATTGTCTGTAGCGATAAATATTTATTCTAAGACTAAAAAGTAGGTACACTAAAGCCCCAAAAGCCCAAAAGAATGTTAAAACAAACTTACGTCAAAAGTCGACTCTTCCTGTGATACCCAGGCGGCTAGGCTGTATCCAAATCTAGAGGGCGAAGTACTTTACCGCCACTGACGGAACATGGAACTGTTTTCGTCATCCGTCTCCGTCGGTCTAGATCCGAACTGAAAGTTTCGAGTATAAAAATAATCTAACAAACAGAAAGGAACAAAATATGCGAATACATTGTACCTACATGTGTTATATATACTAAAGTATGTAGTATAAAGTACAGCTGGTTGACGACTCGTCGGCCTATTGTTGGAATTTTTTTTTTTTGTTCATGGAAATCATTAAAATCGTCAATTGTATCCGATGAATGGCGACGGTTGGTGTTTGCCACAGATGACAGATATTATCGTAGGTCCTACGGGTGCAGCCTCCACACCTGTTCAACCGCAAACCGTTAAGTTTATTTTAATGGGTGTCATTGCACAGTACACACATATTTTTTTCTTGTTGTGAACCTTGAGTGTATTTCTACCAAAATTTAGATTTTCAAAATGTTGTATAGTTATTATAAATTACATAATTTCCCTCAAATTTGTACATGGATGGTGGTGACAACGGTCAACGCTGCTCATTTCAGTATTTTCCGAGTATTTTCTGTATCTCAATGCTATACTGCTACAGTAATATAATCAGTAGGTAGCTAGTAGTTTTTTAAGTAGTGTGTTCCAAAAATCAGAGCTACTGCGGTTTAGGCTCAAATTAAGTAATTGCAGGAATTATTTATTATCGGATTTTTAATAATGCAACCAATTTTGCTAATGGCTCTAAAAGTTAAAAAAACGTTGAAAGCAAATAACTGCTGTTGGTCAGTGGCTTACTTAATTCATTGAGATCCTCATTTGTTCCAATGAGGAATTATCCAAAGAATTTTGAAAACATTTACCAAACATGCTTATAGAAATGTGTGAAGAGTATCTGAGTATGGAATACATAATCCAAGATGTCAAATTTAAAAAAGAAAACGGTGATTTTTACTCAAAACCAATTTTTGACAAAATCGATTTAGTTGTATTGGTATTTGGTAATACTCAAAAACTAATAAACGGATAACCGTAGATACTTCAAATTAATAACCAAATGTTGATATTACAATTTTCAGTACAAGATGCAATTTTAAAAATATTTCGCTCTTTTTGAACCATTTATATGCATGAACAATTTTTTAATTTTTTAGTGTATTTTAAATTACTTTCAATATAAAAAATTGAAAATTTAATAACAAGGTTCCTCAGTTTTTTTTTATAACCATTCTAATTTTAAATTTGGACGGAATTTTATATTTTAACGAAGAATAAAGATTTTAATATTTTGATGTAATTTAAAAATATTATTTGTGGCCCGTGGGTACTTGAAACTTTTAAAGTAGGTATATTATTATATTTTACACACAATGACATTTTCAATTTTTTAATTTTTTGACAGCAATTAATTATGCTTACTAGTAAATACAAGTATAATGATCTATAGCTTATTTGTCATAATTTTTTTTTATGTTTCTGTCTTACGACAAAATTAGACATAATACTACATAAGACATGAAAATTTCATAAATATTCAAATACATTTTTTATAATATGGGGGGGAAATGTCCGCCCAGAAACCGTGGTCTCGATTTTGTACAGTGCGTACAACTGTCGGAGACGAGAGGACATGAGTTACCGTGTATTTGTGCACACTGTAAGTACTGAACCGGCGACGGTCGTCCGATCTATGTCTCCGTTCAACAAGCGTTGGTCGTGACTTATGGAGGGGATAGACACTATACCGTACACGTAACACTACTACGGTCCGCGGCACGTCTTGCCATATCTATATTAGGGCCGCCATTCGCCATTTGGTGTCCGGAACGTAACTTTGTAATTTTCATACGCGTTTTTCGCCTTTGTCCAGTCGTCGGACCAGCACTCGGAAATCACAGCCAAGGTATGTAATTCCATCACTTCGGACAGCGCCCCGCGGTCTTGGCCAGGGCGCTACCTTTTCCGGGCAGCCGATCGTCCGATTCGATCGGATGAAAATGTTCAGTAATAACACGCCGCCGACTTGTATTGGTTTATGTAGATGCCTGTT